AGTCAGTCGATTCAACTGGTGTTGGTCAGTCATTTTACCTAAACACTGGAAAATCTTTGTTGGTTAGCTCTGAGTTCAATGATCTGTCGGCTTTGGTTACAGTGATTGGTTGACTCAGTTTGGTCGATCGATCTGTTGGCATTCTTCAACGGAAATGTTGGGAGATTTTCGATTGTTCTTAGTTATCACTCAAGCTATAATTAACTATTAAAATAATAATTCATCGAAAGTGTCTATATGCTTAGAATAAAAATAAATTTAATTTTTGTTTATACATAGAGTGGGTTTATGGATCTTTTTCATGAATTTTACTATGTCAAGTTTGTTTCATTCTTCCCAAAAAAAATTATCCCATGAAAATCTTCTATATAATATTTTCATTCATTCATTCTCTCTCTCTCTCTCTCTCCCCTCTCATTTTCATCCCCATAATGATAATTGGAAGATGTTTTGAACAAATATAATACCACGATTTTAGGGAAAAATATTACATCATGACTCATAACGTAGAGCTACGTTTGGAGTCCACTGATATGAGGACACGTGATTTCAAGGAAACATGCGCGTTTTCATGTGATCCAGCCCGGTAACACAGGAGAATATTCCTCCAGTATTATTTCGTATTATTCAGATGTTATTGTGGTGGTATTGATGTGTTATTGTGATATTATAACACCGGGAATATTCTCAGAACACAATAACACATGAATACCACCACAATAATACCTGAATAATGTTGAATAACACGAGAGAAATATTCCCCCGCGTCCGCATATCAGTGGACTCCGAACATAGCTCTATTTTAGGAGCACTGATATAATATTTTTCCCGATTTTAGAGAAAAAAAAAAAGCTTGCTTAAGAAGTAGATGACAAACATATTAATAAACTAATAAATTGAAATTTATGACTTGCTTATTATGTACCCTACTTTAGTGGAAACTTAGTTAGTATGTCAGTTTTGAGAAACTACAAAAAATTTTTGTTTTTGCCTCTATCATGAGTGAGCACTTTTCTTCTTTTCAACATCTTTGCAATAATTGCTATTCTATATCACCTTCATATTTGGTTTGTGTCGCAATGTTGTGCATTAATAATACTCATATGACTTGATAAATCACACTCAAATTTATTTTAAATAGAGAAGTAAAGAGAGGGAGAAGATATTAAAAATATGTGATGGGATTGTTCCTGTTGGTTCATGGTTTTTATAATCATTTGCAGGCTCAATGAAATTGCGAGATGATCATTCATTCTTTGTCCTTTCACACTGCACTTATGGATGGCAAAGATGATAGTTATTTATGTGGAGCAACTTAATCGGTTGGTGGGGTGTTATCTTTTTATGCACCTAATTTTCTCATTGTTTCCTTTCTTCTGTAAGGGAAAAAGTTGTTATGTGTGGACGTCCGGATATATTGACATTCTGGATGGGGAGGCCATGTTAGCACGAATGCGACATGTGATGTGATGTCCCAAGCCACTGTTATCTGTACGTTTGAATCCCATGCGGTAAGGATCCAACTTAACTTCTTCGGGTGATAGAAATGCTTGATTTTTGTGCTCCGCACAATGACACCTGAATTTACCCTCAGACTAAGGGGAATAATATCTTGTTGGTGATAGTTCGGGCTATTACAAATGATAGATGTTTTAGGTGACATAATTTGACGATATTTTAAGTGAATTATGAAACATCTTAAAGTAAAATGAAACTAAATTCTTAAACAATGAATCACACCTTTTTGTGCAATGGTTGGAATTTTATCAGAAACTTTAAAGTTGAGTGTGTTCTTCTAAGTGCACTGCTCAGATGAGTGATGTTCTTGGAAGTTAGGTTGTCACAATATCTCAATGGGTGAGAATTTAGGTTGTCACAATAATAGCAAAGCATTACACTAGGTTGAAGAGATGAAAACTTGATTGGTGGATAATTCTGGCTCATGAGCATTGACAAGAACTAGAGTTATTTAAACATAGGACATTATAATGAAGCTGAACTTTTAAACATCCAAGTCTCTTTTACTGTAATGATTAAAATGTCATTAGAAGCTCCACAGTTAAGTGTGGTCGTGTGAGGACAGTCATATGATAAGCAACCTCCTTGAAAGTTAGACCAATGAAACAAAACCTTATAAAGACGGGCATTATAATTTTAACCTCAAATTGAGGTTCTCTTAAATAAAGTACCAATAAAAAAAAAATTAACTCATTAGCCAAGCTATATAACATTTAAAGTGTTGGTTACTATACACCTCTATAGTCCCCAAAGCATATACATATATACAACATACTAACACACTAAAAACTCAAAGTTTATAACCACCCCCACAAATTGAAATATTTTCCTCGTCTCAATTTCATTAAATTATTTCTTATTGAATAAATTAAGCAATCTCTTGAGTACCAGCTATAATGGACAGAAAAAAGAGATGAGAAAAATAACAAATAAAGGCAGAAGCAGCTGGAAACCAGATATTAGTGGTGGCGCTCCGCCACCAAACATCATCCCTAAAAATCCTGAGGCTCCGCCGCCTGCACCAGCTCCGCCACCGTGGAACTCCATTCCACCACCGCCGGCGGGGCAGCCTCCGGCGTTGGCTCCC